GTGTGTGTGGATGTGTGTGCGCGTGTGTGTGTGTGTTCAGCCGCAGAGACGTGAGCCCCGCTTTTCTGTTTCTTTCTCCAGGGCTGAAGCTGCCCTCGAGGACCTGGTCTCCACCGTTCGAGTCTGAGGATTCTCAGAAGCACAACCAGAGTGAACATGAGGATTCAGCCGGTGAATGTTGCTCCTGTCCAAAGACAGACTCTCAGATCCTGAAGGAGCTGGAGGAGTCCTCGTTTAGGAAGACGTTTGAGGATTACCTGCACAACGTGGTTTTCGTCCCCAGGTCAGGACTTGGCGCTGGGCTCTCTTAGTGGGTGCCAGTTGGCTTGGTGCTGGTCATTGCTTAGGGACCCAGAGGTAGTGGGACCCAGAGACGGCAGAAGGGTGGGTGGAGTCTGAATGCAGCCCTTTCCTGGGTGGAGGAAGAGATCTTGGAATTTCGAAATTTCGAGCAGAATTTTATCAGGAAGAGCAAATAATCACACAAAAGGGGAAAAATGGACAAAACTCAGCCTTTGCCTTTCTTACCTCTCCCGAGCTGGTCTCCATCTGAGTTCCAAAACAAACACCATCAGATGATTAAGGCTTTTTTCTCTCTCTCTCTTTTATTTTTATTTTTTTATTTTTTGTAACAGAGTCTCCCTCTGTCGGTCGTCCAGGCTGGAGTGCAGTGGTGCAATTTCGGCTCACCACAACCTCCCCTCCCCGGGTTCAAGTAATTCTCGTGCCTCAGCCTCCCAAGTAGCTGGGACTATAGGCACGCACCACCACGCCCAGCTAATTTTTACATTTTTAGTAGAGACGGGTTCACCATGTTGGTCAGGCTGGTCTCGAACTCCTGACCTCAGGTAATCTGCCTGCCTTGGCCTCCCAAAGTGCTGGGATTATAGGTGTGAGCCACCGCGCCTGGCCATGATGATTGAGGCTTTAGCTGGGTGCAGTGGTGTAAGCCTGTGGTCCCACCTACTTGGGGGTAGGGTTGCTTGAAGCCAGCCTGGGCAACATAATGAGACCCCATCTCTACAAAAAGACAATTTAAAAATGAGCCAGGCATGGTAATGCATGCCTGAACTCCTAGCCCGTGGGGAGGCTGAGGAAGAAGGATCACAACAGCCCAGGAGATCGAGGCTGCAATGAGCAATGATGGCACCACTGCACTCCAGCCTGGGAGACAGAGCGAGACCCTGTCTCTAAAAAAAAAATTAAAAGTATCTGTTCAGATGTTTACCAATGTTATTCACCCGAGCAGACTTTTCTCCCAGAACCATCAATGTGTAAGAATTCTCTTTTTTTTTTTTCTTCTTTTTTTCTTGCATGTTCCCCTATGACCCCGAGTCCAAAAGAATGTTCAGTGGGACAGCCCAGGCATTGAAGTGGTTACCGTTTCACCTGTTAAAAATGAAATGTTGGCTGGGCGCAGTGGCTCCCTCCTGTAATCCCACCACTTTGGAAGGCCAAAGTGGGAGAATCAGTTGAGGCCAGAGGTGGAGACCAGCCTGAGCAACAGAGTGAGACCCTATCTCTACTGAAAAAGGAAACAAAAATAGCCAGACATGGTGGTGCATGTCTTGTAGTCCCAGCTACTCTGGAGGCGGAGGCGGGAGCATTGCTTGAGCACAGGAGTTGGAGGCTGCTATGAGCTATGATGGCACCATTGCACTCCAGCCTGGGCAACAGAGCAAGACCCTGTCTCAAAAAGGAAAGAAAGAAAGAAAGAGAGAAAGAGAGAGAGAGAGAAGAAAAAAAAGAAAGGAAAGAGAGAGAGGAAGGGAGGGAGGGAGGGAGGAAGGAAGGAAGGAGAAAAAGAAAGAGAAGGAGAAAATGAAAAGAAAAAGGAAGAAAGAGAAAAAAGAAAGAGAAAGGAAAGAAAGAAGAAAAAGAAAGAAAGAGGAAGGAAAAGAAAAGAAGGAAGGAAGGGGAGAGAGGGAGAGAGAATGAAAGAGGAAAGGAGAAAGAAAGAGGAAAGAAAGCAGAAAGAGAGAGAGAAAGAAAGAAGAAAGAAGGAAAAGAAAAAAAAAGAAAAAAATGCTGCCAGACTTGGAGAAGTGACTGAGTCAGTTGTGTCCACATGTAGTCACATTTGACATCCCAGGGCCACCTCCGCAGGCCATCTCTGGGGGAGAATTTTCTCTGATTTCTTCCCCGTCCCTTGCCGGGCCCCTGCATCTGCTGGCGAAGATGTAGCTCCCTCCCTCCAGCAAGTGATGGATGGGAGCAAGTGATCCAGGTTCAAGGCCAGGGTGCCCTTACTCAAACACAATGTGGCCTCCAAGTGTCAGAGCCCAGTGGTCTGTCTAATGAAGTTCCCTCTGTCCTCAAAGCAGTTGGTTTTATTTCCACAGAAAAACCTCTTCAGGCACTGGTGCCGAGGACCCTAGGTATGACTCACCTGTGCGACCCCTGGTGCCTGCTCCGTGCAGGGCCGGCGGTGTGCCAGGCAGACGCCTCGGAGAACGCAGGGGTTTCTGTGGCTTCTTGCATGCGGTGGGCTGCTGTGCTGGAGATGAGATGCTTCACAAATTCAGAAATCCAATGCCTTCACTCTGAAATGAAATCTGGGCATGAATGGTGGGGGGAAATCTTCACTAACACACTCTTGCCACAACATAGAAGCACGTGAGTGCTTCCTGGGTACCTCCTCCCTGCCTTCAGTTTGCAGCCACTGTTGGCTCACTAAAGATCTCTTTGCACCTCCCACGTGCATTTGCAGAAGTGGGTGGGGATCCCCGGAGTCTGAGCTCCCCGCGGCTGGGTGCCCCGACCCAGCAACTCCTATACCATGAGGGGAGGGTGGTCTGGAAACAGAATATTTTCATGAAACGGTGACAGGATATGAACAAAAGAACACCGTGTCGCTCACTGAATTCTACAGAGGAGAGTCAGGGACCTTCCTTCCTTCCTTCCTTCCTTCCTTCCTTCCTTCCTTCCT